TATATTTCCCCTCCTCAAAGTGACCAAAAATGGTCTATGCTAAAAAAAGAAATACAACACCATACCATTATTTTAGTTGGAAGAGCCGCACCAAAAATCATGACAAAAAATTTGTAGAACTATAAGAAAATCCAGTGGTTTTTTGTTTTTGTTACTGTTAATGATTTCTTGCTAAAAATTCAAGTAAGAGAGTCAAATTGCTTAAAGCACTAAGAAAGCATAGCAGTAGTGTATGGTCTGCAATGATTTGAAAATCACTAAGAACAGTCTTCAATGTTTCCTCATTTGCAGACTACTGCCTATCAAACACGATCTTTGAAGGAAAGGACTACATCTGTTCTTTTACCAATCTTGAATTTATATTCTCTTATAATATAGTAATGACACAAAGTGATGTCACACACAAAAAGGCAAACTGTATGTAATTTTAAAAGCTAACTTTAAAATATGATTCTAATATCTGTGATAAAAAATCACATAAATATGTAAAATATAAAATACATCCTAACATATTTTTTACATGAGCTGAAGTTTACCACTTTTAACATAAAAATTCTGAGATGGAATTAATAAAAAAAACAATTTTCATATGTACCACAGAGCAATAAGTTTAAATCAGACTATTTTGAGTTGTGTAGCCCTTTATTAGCAACTAAAATAGAAGGTATCTGTTGTACAACACGGGTAGTAATTGACTATAACTGGAGATTTATTATATTCTAATACAGATCATTTATAAATGCAATTTCTTTATTAAAAAGCTTCCACCCTTTTGTTTGTTTGTGTACAATTTGCAAAACTATTCTGAAAGCGGAATATATGTGCACAAGTCTGCAAAGAGTGCAAATTTAGGATATGGTAAATGCTTTACAAGTTACTTTCAAAACACTGTCTGCCACAATTGGGCCTTTACATTGCCATCTTTTTTGATCAAAATATTTTGATGCCAGCCTTCCTTCCACTGCCCTAAACTATAAAGCATTTTTTAATGAGTTGAAATTAAGGAAGGACTACACCTACTAGAAAAGAAGAGAAGAAAGTTCTATTAGTTTGAGGTTTCAGAATCCCCCCAAACCAGGACCAGTATCTTGGTAAGGGCTAGGCTGGGACCCCGGACAGAGAATGAGTATGTGCAGGTGGCATCCCTGAGGATTCAGAGCTTCAGTGGACCGTGAGTGCTCCCGCTGCATAACTCACTGAACTGTCTTGCCAGTTTCTACACTGGCTTGACTGGGCATAATTCAAAAAGGAAAAGCTCATATTCATTCCATTCTTCTGGAGCTCTGTGATAGCCTAGGGGAAAAAAAAAATTGGTTACAACAGACCTCATAAAAAGTGAACACTCTTTGTGTTGGTGGCTTAACTTTGTCCACCTCACAGCTGAAGCCTAGATTTTTTTTTTTTTTTTGGAAGCCTAGATTTTTTACTCTTCTCTTGATTTGTTTCTTGAACTTCTTATTGCATCATATTAAATGGGAAAAAGAGAATTCCTTACTTCATTCTCTCAAAGAATGTCCCCTAATCTAACTTCTTGATAAATATCAGTCATCTCCCACCACACCCTTCTTATACTTAATAAAGCCACTGCAAGAAACATACACCTTTCTCTCTTCTCTAAACCAAATCATAGCCACTTCTGTCATGAAATCCTGGTCTCTTCTTTGTCTAACTTTGACTAAATTTGAAATATATATAAATTAATTTCCAGATCTAAGAGGTAAACCACGATTTTTATTTTAATTGTAGATTGGTTCACCATTTATTTTATTAAAATTTTATTTGATCCAACTCAGACTTTAGGAAATTAGTGTAGCTTACCTAGTTTAAATTTCAAGAATTAGTTTAAGCCCTTAACAGGCTTTTCTTCCAGTCAATACTGCTTTAGAGAAAACCATTCCTAAAAATCCACAATGTACTCTTTCATATTACACTAAACACACTGTAGGGTAGGTTCCTGCCCTGAACTCTTCTAGACTAACATTACCTTCTCCATTATTTCTCTGCCTCTCCAAACAATGAACACATTATTGCTTCCTCCTCCCATTCCTGAGTATACATACACTTCTTCTTTATGAAAAAGTCTCACAGTTTCTTTCTGGAAAGGCACATTGTTTTATTTATTAGAAGAAAAATTAATATTATTATCTCTTTCAAAAATCCAAAACTTCTGCCTCTTACTATTATTTACATGAAATATTGTTTTTGTTGTAAAAAGAAAAACATATACATGCCATCTGTCTCATGTTACTAAATTATGAATATCTGAAGTTCAAGAACAGAATCTTCCATTATTTTTCATAGAGTCTAGGACATTAAATAAAACCAAAAAATTAATAAGGTTACTTATTACCAAGTGTTACTTTGATTTATATTTGTAAAGAACATATCGGAACTGGTTGTGAGTCAAGAGAAAAACTAGGTTTCTATTCTAAATATTTTTTTCTGTATTTAAAAGAAAGTATTGGCCTATCTTCCAGTAACAAGTTTATTCATGTTAGCAAAATAATGGAAAGCCAAATTATCTTAAAGGTACTAGAAAGAAAATTTACCTAAAACCAATGCTCATTAATAAGGTATCACAGATGATGACAATTAAGATATTTTGAAACATCATAGGATCAAATGTTAAAAATCCAGGCTTCCTAAGGATACTCACATTTAATAACACCCCAATGGGATGTCTTCCACATATAGTATTATGGTATTTCTTCAAGTAATTGCTAAAAGATACAGGGTCTAATTGTTCTATAATACTCATACCCTAAAAAAAGAAGAGAAAAAGAAAATGAAAGAAAAAGAAAAAGGTACACAATTTATTATTTCCTAATTACATTTTAAAACCATTACTTAGAGTTAAACATCATAATTTTTCAATTAAGGAGAAGTAAAGAAAATACATTAAATAATCCTTGGGAAATATCAAACTCATTCATCAAAGGTAATCTCATTATAGTCAGCGCTCAACAATATGTACACTTCATTAACAGAAAACTTTCAGTCCTGTTTAGTTTTTTCTGACCTCCTGCTATTTTTCCACAACACCATCACCAGTTACCACTTAGCTCACAACCCTTAAACATTTCACAATTTTACATTTTTCTTATATAAATGTATTTACAAAAGTAAATCCACTGTGAAAATTAAATTTGCTATATGGCTGTTTTTTTCTCATAACCATCATATTCCTCCTACCATTGGCATAAATAATTAAGTTTACTGTAATTTAGCCAATTTCATAACATACACTTAAATATCAACAGTGGGCAAGGCATTTGAATTATCAGTACGTGATAAAAAGAAGATAACACTAAGAAAAAGGTTAACATATTTTCAATTAACTTAAAGCTCATAAAAGATAAATGCTCAAGCAAAATAGGCCTTTTAGGAACTTTTTTAAAGAAAGTATTGGCCTGTCTTCCACTAACAAATAACTTTATTCATGTAAGCAAAATAATGGAGAGCCAAATTATCTTAAAGGCTTTTTATCTCTTGGGGTGCTTGGATGGCTGAGTCAGCTGAGCATCCAACTCTTGGTTTTGGCTCAGGTCATGATCTCAGGGTCCTGGAATTGAGCCTGGCCGAGGGTTCTGCACTCAGCAGGAAGTCTGCTTGAGATCTTCTCCCTCTGTCCCTCCCCACCTCCCTCCCCATACCGCTCATTCTCTCTCTCAAATAAATAAATCTTAAAAAAAAAAAAAAAAACTTTTTATCTCTTTATACTTCCAACTAGAATGCTTTATTTCTAAGATTTTAATCCAGGATCAAAAAATTTTAAGACTATTATTAAAACAACCACTCTGATTTGGACATTTATTCACACTAAATTCCATACCTTGCAAATGCATTCAAATAATGTGTTCATAATACAAGAATATAGAGCAACTTTAATCAAGCAAATAAATGAATGATTCTCATTCATTCACCAATTACCTTACCTTGTTTTCTTATTCGGGTAAAATATTTTACATTTGTGTTCAACAAACTGGATTAACATACTCAGAGAAATGTAAATGGTGGTTTAACTAGGGAATCAACTGATCTATTTTGTGTGGTTTTTAAATTATATTTCAACATGTTTTAAAACAACTACAGTGGAAAAGCACCTAGAGTAATCAGATGAACGCTCATCTGAAAAATGATAGTAATCAGTAGGTGACATAAAAATACTGCAGTGGCAGCATCAAAATTTAATTTTATAAAGAACCTGTTTTCAGAGCATTCAAGTCGTTCATAAACATCACACTTTCCTGCAAATACATCTGAAAGATAGGTATGTGCATGTAATCAACTTCCAACTGATTGCACATCAATTAGCCATTCTCAGATTTGTCCACAACCAGTGTTTAATGCTAAGCTGTTTTCCCCTGCAAACTAGAAGTCTTCCAGGTCAACAGTCTCCAGTGACATTTGGTGCAAATTCAGAGAAATATGAGCAAACTTAAAAATTAAACCTAAGATAAACAATTAGTATCATAATTCTGGTTCAAAGAATATCACACAATATATTTCTAAACCAAGTAGTAATGCAGAGATGGAGTTAAACAAATCTCTTCCACACATACGGATAGTCAAGATATAACTCCCTAAAGATGAAGGAACTGAGGCATAAATAAGGTTAAAAGCTTGCCTCTAAATTTCTAATCTGAGGCTCTTTCTCACTCACTAGTCTGCTTCATGCAGCATAAGAGACATACTAACAATTCTTTAAACACTCTCACAGCTATAATTGGTATATATATTTTAAGAGAACTTTCAATGTTCCTGGGTAAAGTCTAGGACAGCTTACCTTAAATAGAATTCTACTCATTAATACATTATGTGACACTGAGGTTCTGATGTACCTGTTAATGTTAAAATCTTAAAGTACATTTTGAACAAACTTACCACATTCATATACGGACATGAAAAATTCAAAGACAGGAAAACTAATGATCAAATTTGTTGAAAACAAAGAATTCAAGAAATTTCATATAGAGAGATATAAAATAAAGCTATGAATGTAGAGAGGACACTACTAAATAAAGTGTTTGAAATTAAGATATAATGGTTAAATTACAAGAGGGAAAAGAAAAAACTGAGATGATGGAAGTAAAGGGATTAAATTTAAATATTTAATTCCCTAAAGTGTGTTATGTACCTACTAGGGCAAGAATCAATTCCATTACAATCAATTCTCTGACAAATAAAGATAGTGAACGAGTATGCATTTTTATAAAGAAGGGATATAGAGAAAAAATAAGGCTTTTCTCATGAGTGAAATTCTCCAATTGGAAAATTCATAAAGTATGCAAACAACAGCAATAATGACTGAGAAAAAGGGCATCTATTAAGTAATACAGAACACTGGCAATAATACTCTTGTATATATTTATATTTTGATGTTAACAATTTTTAAATTATAGTTACCAAAGTTCCAAGAAGATGAAAATGCTAACATGATACTACTGCCAACTGCCAAAATTCCAAGATGAAGCAACAAAGTGCTTCTCCAATATGCTTAGTTAACTCTTCTATTACTTAAAATACTGAAGATATGATCAGAGAATCTAAAGTCCAGGTGATGGAAATCTTACCTAGGGCCTAGCACATTGAGAATCTGTTCACATGACTTAAATCCAATATGAAGCAGTGAAGATCTAAGATACAAAGCAGATATCATAAACACCAAAAGCTGATATCCATCATGATTTGGGTTTCTGAGAAATTTAGGGGCTTCAGCAAGACATCCTCAGATTGAAAGCTAACTCCCTACCTTGAGGGGTAAACAAGGGCAGAGGGAATCTATCATTATGCTGACTCTCCAAGTAATGAGTGAAAGCTTGTAATGTTAAATCCCAAGTGGCAATCCTAAACTGAACAGACAGTTTTAACTGACAGAGCTGCAAATTCAGGATTCTGATAAGACAACAAAGATCCTCCCTTTTAAAAAAGTTTATATATAGGGGTGCCTGGATGGCTCAGTCGGTGAAGCATCTGCCTTTGGCTCAGGTCATGATCTCAGGGTCCTGGGATCGAGCCTGGCATGGGGCTCCCCTTCACTCAGTGGGAGTCTGTTTCTCCCTCTCACTCTCCCTCTATGCTCTCGCTCTCTCAAATAAATAAAATCTTAAAAAAAATAAAAATAAAAAACTTTATACATAATAAAATATTTAATTTAAATTTAACTTAATTTTAAATACTATCACCAGAAGCAATCTGCCTCTAAAGTAACAAACACAAAAAAGAAACAAAACTATTTGAGAGGACTTTAAGATAGAACTAGAACCATAGGTCTTTTTATTATAAACACTTAATTAATCACCATATTATCAAGTCAGTAGGTCTCATTTTCTAAAGTAAGGATATATATTTATGTTGGAGAGATGGGTGTACATTTAGGTAGGCAAGGTGGGAAAAGGAAATACTCTGCTTTCTGTAAGAGGCATCAAAATAAAATCTTACAGTGAAAGAAATTTTATGGGGAAAAAAAAATCACCCTAAAGACAGCAGTGCTAAGAAGCAATATACTAATAAATAGCTATCTTAAAAGATATTATAAAACCTTACACCAAAGACTACTAAAGAAACTATTGGCCTGAGTTCAAGAAAGAAGTATGAGTAGACAAATCTGAACAATTTCACTTTCAAAAGAGTTGAAAGAAAGAAAAGTAGCTGAAGTTCAAATTAAATGAAGGGACTACTAATAAATTTAGAAGGAAAATACATCATAAGGATGACTACAATGAGATTTTCAGATTCTCTTTGCCAAATCATAAACAATTTGGCAATGTCCATAATGAAACACTGGTCTATATCAAAAGTGGCACAGAAAAAAAAACATGATTATGCGATATATACATATAAAATATATACTTATGTACTTATGTACGATTAATGTTTCCAGTATGTAATATCAAAAGTTCACAAAAATGAATCTCTTAAAATATGTTCTGCTTTGTAATTACTGAAATTACGAAGTTCTAATTACCAAAAACATGATCAGCAGCCAATACTATTATAATACTTTTAGAATCTCCTGTAACTAGTTACTTTTTTCCCACTTAAAACATTTGGAAGATCCAGTTTATTCTCCTATATATTTTTTCTTTACATATTTTTTTCACATAATTCAATTCCAAGATATTCAAATGCTAGAGATATAATTATTTTGCAATAAGAGGAACAGCTATTTTTATTTTGCTTTTGGAACATAGAAACACTTTTACTTATTTTAGTAACTATATTTAATAAGACTTTTCTGATAACAAAAAAAGAGCCAAAACTAATTAACACACTAATTTTGAAAAGATTATACCCAAGATTTTATACTTAAATTCAAACTTTCAAAATGTGTAACAATTACAATTCAGAACTGCTAACGTGTTTTAACACTTTATAATAGAGAACCATCCAACTATATTTGCTCTGAAAATACTGCATGTAGAAACTAAGATATTGGTTCTCAAATGAATGAAATTATTTATAACATAAAATGGCACTTTAGAAAAGGAATATACAGAGGGATATTCACCATTTGGTTATATAAATCAATTAAGAAAACACGTTATATAAAGTTTAATAGTGAGAGTACATATATATAAACATACATATATATATATAAACACACATACACGACTATATGTATAGATCTAACCATTCTTATTATTTTAATCCACTTTAACCCCCAGAAGTGACTTATAACTTGAATTAAGAACATGCTAATAAAAGAACAGAACACTTATGAGCCATTTAAAAATTCCATATATAAATAGAAAGGGACCA